TAATAATGGGTTATAATAAATAGATTCAGCAAAGTTTCAAGGTACAATATCAACACACACACACACACACACACACACACAAAACAGTTGTGTTTCTACACACCAGCAAAAAACAATCCAGAAAAGAAATTAACAAAATAATTCTGTATATAACAGCATCCAAAAAAAAAAAAAAAACTAATATGTAGGTGTAAACTTAACCAAGGAGGTAAAATACTTGAACACTGAAAACTCCAAAGCACTGCTAGAGGAGTTTAAAAACCTTAAAAGTGGGAAGACATTTGTATTTGTAATTGATGACAATGTTGGCGAGATAGTGGTGCTACTGAAGTGACCTACAGATTTCAGGAAACGCCTATCAAATTTCCACTAGGCTTTTGGGGCAAATATGAAATGGCTGGTCCTCAAACTCATACGAAATTGCAAGGGACCCTGAGCAGCCACATGATCTGGAAGAGGAAGAGCAAAATCTGGGCTCAACTTCCTGTAGAACTTTCCAAGTTCCACAAAGCCATGGTAGGCAAAACATTGTATCACCAGCATCGGGATGGTGATGAAATAGAATTAAAAGACCAAATAGAGTGCCCTCCCTGGTGGTGCAACAGGTTAAAGCGCAGCACTAAGAAGCTAAAGCCACTTCAGCATGAGTTCAGTCCCCGCCCCAAAGGGACCCACATGGCGCAGCAGACCTCTCCTGACCCGCCTGCTGCTCCCCTCAGCAGTGTTCTTCGTCAGTCGGCCTGTTCTGCTCCCCACTGTCTCTGGGGAATCCTCTCACTGCCTCTGCACCTCTGGCCTGTATCCCAATTCTGTATGCATAAATAAATAAATATTTTTTAAAAAACCCAACCGGGAAACACATTTAGCCACAAGAGACAAACATAGACTGAAAGTAAAAGGTTGGGAGAAAAATTCTGCAAGCAAGTGAACTGAAAAAGAGGGCAGGAACAGCTATACTTATGTCAGATGAAATGGACTTCAAGCTAACAAAAGGTGACCAGAGACATTTCTCCAAAGAAGATACACAGAGGACCCAGAAATGCATGAAATGAGGCTCAGTGTCGCTTGGCACTAGGAGAACGAAACCAAGAAGTGTAGGGTCAAGGGCCGGAGTCAAGGGCGCGAGACTTGGTGCTCAGCAGGGTGTGTGGAAACTGGACCACGGGTGCGCTGCTGGTGGGATGGGAAATACCCAGTGTGGTGGAAAACAGGTAAACACAGGATTAATGCAAAGAGTTAAACATAGAATCAAGTGCTGAGAACAGAGACTCAGGCAAATCTCTGGCCATACTTGATCCCGCAGCACCTGTCACAGTCGCCCAGGGGAGGGACAGCCCAGTGCCCACAGATGGGTGGATGGGCAAGCAAATTGTGGTGTCGCATACTTGGGGTATTATTTACTGCTACAAAGTAATGAATTGCTGCTACAGGATACAACAGGGAGTGGAACTTAATGCTAAGAGAAAAAGGCCAGGTGCGAGAGGTCCTGTATTGTATAATTCCATTTATATGAAAATATCCAGAATAGGTAAATCCGTGGAGACAGGACGTGGGTTGTTGTTAACGGGTTGGGAGGCCGGTGGAACATCGAGGGACTGTTTAGGGGCCTGGGGTTTCCTCTGGGGTGATGGGAAGGCTTTGGAAGTAGCTGGGGTGGTGGGTTGTACAGCATTAGGGATGTGCTAAGTACCCCTGAGGTGTTCATGTCCCAGCGGCTCACTTTCTGTGATGTAGATTTAGCCCCAATACATTTTTTTAAATTACAACAAATATTTTGCAACTTATTTTGCTTACAGGTAAATAATTGCTAATTATAACTTCTTTCCTAAAGAAAAAGGCACAGCTTCGAGCTGACACCCTCTGGATTTCAAGTTTAAGGCCATTTCCGTGAAAGGTTTTGCCAATAGTTTGAACTTCTAGAGCTGTTGCCTTTGGCGTCTTTTTCTACATTCTCATGAGGACGCTGGTGGCAGACAGCACACTGGGGAGCATGGAGTAGGCAATCTCTGGCTCAGGGAAAGAGAATTATGATTCTGGCAGAGGCTTCTGATGAAGCACAGGGAAATGCTGGCCTCAGAGTGGCAGGCGCTGGGATTGAATCCCAGCCAAGACTACGCTGTGTCCCACCTCCACCCTCCAAGCCTCGCGTCTTCATCTGCAAAGTGGAGACGATAGCCACTTCTTTGCAGGACTTGTGTGAATGAGATGAAGGAGGTGGAGCTGCCAGGGCCAGTGGCTGGCACACAGTAGGTACCCGGTGGGAGGCAGCAGCCAGACGGGTTGGTATCAGGTATCATGCGTTTAGGATTTGATTGCATCGGAAGGAAGTATGTCCAAGTTCACATGTTTATTTTTAAGCGTGCTAATTACCTCTTTAAATGAATTGTCATAATTTGTGTTACTCCAATATTTTGATAGAACATATGCTTATTTTTGCAAAAGGCTTCTGGCCGATTGGGCTGGTTCCAGTGTGTTGCGGTCTGGGTTTTTGAATGCAAGCAATAGACTCATGCAGTTTACTCACTCACTAGGCAGATGCGTGTGCCAGCACCTGCTCTGGGTGTTGGGGCAGGCAGAAAGGTGGTGGACATGAGCAATGGGTGACCAAGGGGCTTGGAGTGTATGGGGAAGGACAGGAGGGATCACCTAGTGAGGTCTACCCCTCAAACCTGGCACATCCCCCCACATCACATTCTTTTTTTTTTTTTTAAGATTTATTATTTATGCATACAGAGCTGGGGTGCAGGCCAGAGGTGCAGGGTGGTGAGAGGATTCACCAGAGACAGAGTGGGGAGCAGAGCAGGCCGGCTGATGAAGTGCATTGCCAAGGGGAGCAGCAGGCTGGTCAGGAGAGGTCTGCTGCACTCTGTGGTCACCTCCAGGGTGGGGATGGAACTCGTGCTGAAGGGGCTTTAGCTTCTCACTGCTGTGCTCTAGCCCGCTGCGCCACCTGAGAGGGCCCCCACATCACATTCTAATTGAGCACCTACTGTGCCTGGCACTGGTGACTGAGCAGACGAGGCCCTTCTGGAGCTTGGGTCGATGGGGCTGGGGGGAGGGACAAGCAGAAGACAAGCAAAGAGCCAAAAGCAATGGAGCACATATGAGGGGCCCTGAGGGGTGAAGCAGGGTCTTACCACGAGTGGGCAGGGCCCGCGGAGACTTCCTGGGGCTCTGCTCTCTGGATGATGTGCTACCCGCGGCTGAGACCCACCTAAAGACAACTGACCACTTGCTCATCAGAGGTTCAGGCCGAGGCAGACGTCTGCCACGGTGCTTGTGAAGCGTGAGGGACACTCACAGCGGAGGAATCACAGAGCTCGTGGACACACGGGCTGCTTTCCCTTGCTGAGTCCCTGGAGAACTTCCCTCACAGCTCTGAAATTGCAGCGAACGACGGTGATGCCGACAATGGCAATAGCAACCCACATGAGGCTGGCTGGTACCAGGCGTGTCCTGGGCAGTTTCCACACATGCTGATTGATTTACCCTTTATGACACTCCAGGATATACACTGTTAAGCCCTCTCTTCACAGGTGAGGAAACTCAGGCACATGAGGTTAAGTAACACGCCTGAAGTCACACAGCCCGTTCAAGGCAGGGCCAAGATCCCAGCCCAGGCCGGCCGACTCTCGGCTTCTGCTCTGTGCCGCCTCCGTAGGGACATTGCCACAGACTGCAGCACGGTCACACGCTTGAGTGGAGGTGCGCTGTGGCGTCTGTGCTAGGACCTGGCTTGTGCGTGCGTTCGGCTAGGTGTTTTTGAAGCCCCGCTTTGTGCTGGATGGACCCAGGGAGGGCCGAGCTCACATTAGCCATGCAACAAGTGACCTTAGTTAACGTGCGCTAGTTGAGCGGCCTGCCTGGTGCGTGTTCCGAGGAGAAGGGAGGCAAGCTGGGGTGTGCCGGGAGGACAGTGAAACCAAACAGGCTGGGGGCGAGTAGGAATGAGTCAGATGAAGGGAGAGTCTGCGTGGGCAAGACATTCCAGCAGGAGGAACAGTGTATGTGAGGACCCAGAGGCAGGAAAGGTCGTTGTGGCCGGACTGCAAGGGGAGCTGGGCCATGTTTGGGACAGTGGGCTTTATCCTAAGGACAGTGGGAGACAACCCAGCACTGAAAGTGCGGGTGACGGGTGCCATGATCGTCTCCTAGGCGCCCCCCGACTGCGGGGAGGGGATAGACTGGTGGAGACCGGGCTGTGGAGGCCAGGGAGGAGGCGGGCGGGCGCGGGGTCCAGCTGGGGATGTAAGATATTTTAGAAGAGTTTCCTTAGATTGGAGGGGTGTTGAGGGTGAACCTCCCGTTTGGGCTTGACTCAGTCCCTGCACGGGGCAGGAGGGGCCCTGCGCTCTCAGGGTTGCACGTGTTGATGGGAAACGGAGCGGGCGTTTAGATGCTCCCAGCTCAGGTGGGTGACGGAGGTTGGAGGGGGAATTGTGGCTCCTGGCTGGGAGCTGGGACCCAGTGAGACTGTGGCTGGCTGCGGGAGGTCTGTGCAAGAGGAATGGAGGACGGAGGGAGAGGAGCCCTCAGGGCTGAGCCCCGGAACCCCCAGCAGAGAGCCCGGTGGGGAGGAGGAGCTGACCGTGGGGAAGGGGCAGCAGGAAGGTGGCAGAGAAGCAGGACAGTCTGGGGTCCGCCACATGCGCGAGGCTGTTTTCAAGGTGACGGGAGCAAGTGGGACGTGCTGGGAGAGAAGTGAGGAGCCCTGTGCCACGGAGAGCTGGTGGCCGAGGGCGCCAGCGTGGAGGAGGCAGGTTGCGAGGTTCGGTGAAGTGCCTGAGCCGGGAGGGCGGGGCTGGTATGAGGCCCCAGGAGGGCACACAGGGTGTGGCAGGCGTCGGGCATCCCGGGGCCATCTGAACCGGCTGCCCCGCAGTGACCGTCCCTTCCTGCCTTCGCCAAGCGGCTCCTTTGTCTTTGCTGTTATGGTGCCTTCCTGCCTGTCTGTGATTGTCACACACTGATGCCCGCAACATGCCCTTTTGATGTTTTAGACCTACAACGGCCAGAACGACAGCAACGAAGACTATGAGATCCCCCCAATAACACCTCCCAACCTCCCCGAGCCATCCCTCCTGCACCTGGGGGACCACGAAGCCGGCTACCACTCGCTGTGCCACGGCCTGGCGCCCAACGGACTGCTCCCGGCCTACTCCTACCAGGCCATGGACCTCCCGGCCATTATGGTGTCCAACATGCTGGCGCAGGATGGCCACCTTCTGTCGGGCCAGCTGCCCACGGTGAGTCCCTGTCGTCCGTCACGGTGCCTGCTGCAGTTAAGGCAGGAAAGGGGGTTGAGAGGGAGCAGAAAGCCCACACCAGGACGAGCCCCCCCACCTGTCCTGCATGGCTCTGGACTCCGTCTGTTGCCCCGGTCGGGGGTCTGCACAGTTGCGTGTGAAGGGAGAAGCAGTATCTTCACACTGCTTACTCTGGAACGCTGAGAGATCTTGGTGTTGCTTGTTTTAGTGTTACTATGAACAGTAAAATCTCATTTTGTTTTCTTAATGGCTTTATTGAGATGCACTTCATATGCACAGTTCACCCACTGAAAGTATAATGGGTGGGAAGACCTCAAGGGACTGTGGTGATGGTGCACAGATGAGCTGGTGGTGGCAATGACACGGGACTACACTGAGAGGAAGCAAAATGTACAAAAATGAACAATGATGAGACAGACAGACGGATAGACAGTCAGACAGATAAAGTGTGAAAATACAAAAAGGGCCCTCCCAGGTGGTGGTGCAGTGTGTTAAAGCACAGCACTATGAAGGTATCTGCAGCCACGTAGCACAAGTTCGATCCCCGGCCAGGGAGCTGATCTACATGGTGCGAGTGACCTCTCCCATCTTGCCCACTGCTCCCCTCAGCAGTGTATTTCAGTAGATCCGCCTCTTCTGCTCCCCACTCTGTCTCAGGTGAATCCTCTCTCACACATACCCCTACCCCCTGCACCTCTGATCTGTACCCTAGTTCTTATACGCATAAATAAATAAATTTTAAAAAAATATATTAAACTAAGAAGCAAAGTATATCATTCAGTAGATTTTAGTATATTCACAGAATTGTGTGAGCATGAACACATTCCATTTTAGACTATTTTCATCACCGCAGAAAGAAATCCTATAGCCTTTAACCATCGCTCCTGACATCATTCCCTGTGCCCCCATCATTCCCTGTGCCCCCCAAGATATATATACATACACTCCCCAGCCATAGGCAACTACTGATCCACTTTCTGCCTCTATGTCGCTGCCTATCCTGGACATTTCATGTACGTGGAATCCCACTGTTTTCTGAGCACCATCTTCCTTACACTGCAGGGGAATGGGTGAATCCTGAGCTCAAGTTTGCAGAATGGGTAGAAATTTGGTAGGCAGCGTTAAAGCAGGAAAGGATCTTCTGGGCTGGGGAACAGCATGTACAAAACAGTTCACGTCTCATTCTTTTTCTCGAGCTGGAAAGAAAGGACCTGGAACCGAGGAGGGGGAGAGCAGAGGGGAAGAGCTCATCAGAGGCTGGCTGAATCCCACGCCTAGATGTATGATTCTTAGGCATGAATGGCTGATATGAACAATCAAGAACTATAGAAAGCCAGTAGAGCAGTTTTTGTATAAAAGAAAAAGCTCCTTGAGGGGATTCCAGTACTTCCCATGAATAACTGCTTTGTGCTGATTTTTGCTTTTCCTTCATAGTTAACACTGTATGTGGGTCACAGTTCTCACATTCAATCTTAAGTGACAGGTACCAAATTCAGACTAGTTTAAGCTAAAGACAGTGAAATATCAGGTAGGCAAAGGGTTTCAGGCATGGCTGGATCCAGCAGTATTGTGAGGTCTGTATTCCATTCTCATTTCCCCACCACCACCCCCTTCTTTCCTGACCGGTCTGATGCGTAGGTGTTTGGGTTTTCCAGGGAGAACTGTGATTGAGTATGACTGGGCCCACCACTCCCTAGGAAGAAGCCATACCTGTGCCAGAGAAAATAGGCCACTTCACTGGCCCCTGTGATTTCAGAATCACATGGGGTTGGGTAGACTATGTTAATCTCTGCAAAAGCTGCTCAGTGGCCATAGGCAAGTTTGTGGCCCGATTCTAGCAGATGCTCAGGGCTTCAGGCATACGTCAACCGTCTCCACTGGACTTTATTTCATGTTTACTCTTTTACCACCAAACCTCCTAGCTTAAAAAAACTGGTATACTCTATGTAGTTTCTTAAGCACATCACATTTTTTGAAACTAGATGTGAAATAAAAGGAGATCAGGGAGCAAAGGCAGGAACCCCCTCGGTTTCATATTTTGAGAAGTCTGGGCCCAGCGCCAAGGATGCTGTTTCTTGAGGAACGCTTTCCTTTGGGCCCATCAATAATGCAGGTCCCTATCTTCCTCTTCTCTCTCCGGGAGATCTGAAGATTCCAAAGCCATGTGGTTTCGAGTCTGCTTTGCTCGAGTGCCTGTGTCGTCTATGCCTCCCAGCTAGCATCCTCGCCTTACTCCACTTCTCCAGGCTGTCCCTACTTGGGCTGCATGTGACCCAACAAGAGTAGGACCTGGCAGGTGCCTCTGAAGCATGCCCAGGGGAGGGCTGTAGACGCTGCAGTTCTGGGCCAGGCAGGCAACCCCCTCTAATGCTGGTGGTGCAGGGAGGGGAGAGGCCAGTGAGCAGGCCGAGCCCCCCCCAGCCCACCCAGGTCCTGGCTCCACCTCCAAGCTTCATTTCCCTGTCTTGGAATCATACCACTGTCCTCAGGATTTCGGTGCAGTGTCATGAGATGTGTATGTAAAGTCTTAGCAAATGCATGTCAGAGAGTAAGCAATCAGGGAATATTTGCTGTTGTCCTACTCAGTAATAAAAACGAATTCCCAGTGTAACCCACTGGCAGTGTTTACTCTGCAGGAACAGATGGCAGATTCTCCACGGTACCTTCGCAAGCCCCCTTGGTTATAGTAGTTCTGATCACTACAGAGGACATCATCGCTTTATCACACGTGACCCCAGGTCACCCCTGCTAGGAAATGCTTTTGCTGGGCTAGGTCCAAATAGGTATTCTGCAGACTCCTTTCTAACTAGCCCATGCTCAAATGCTTTACAAATTCAGCTAGCTTTGATTCATTCATTAGTCAAGAGTTTGCAGAGGTTCACTGGGTTTTATATGCCCTCATTATGTAAAGAAAAACACCAAACTGATTTACTCAAGGGTTGCGGTGGTGACTGGGAAATCAGACCGGAATGTGTCCTTTGTGTGGCTCGTTGATGAAGCAAGACAAGGCGTCCTTACAGACAAGTCTTTAAGTTAACATGAGCTGCAGGTGGAGGTGTGTGCACGTGTGTGCCTGTGTGTGCATGCCGGGATATGTTCCCAATGTTCCCTCCCATCATACTTGTAAGAGCCCCGTGCAAGGCAGATACCCCTTGAAGAGGAGAGGGACATTTGGGGTAGGTTGGTGCTGTGTTCTGAAAATAGTAATAACATCCTGTGGCTGATCAAGTCTCCACAAACAAGAAGTCTGAGGGTGCTTCCTGTGGTGCACCAGGTTAGGACTCAGCACTGCAAGCTAGCCGCAGCTGCTTCAGTGTGAGTTCAATCCCTGGCCCTGGAGGTGACCCATACCAGTTCCGTATGTATAAATAAAAAACTTAAAAAAAAAAACAAAACCAAACAAAAAACAGGTTTGTTCTCTCCTGACTCTGGAGGCTAGGCGCCCCAAATCCGAATCACTGCATCAAAATCAAGGTGTCAGGCAGGGGGTGTTCCCTGCGGGGTTCTGGGCCACGCCCTGTCTCTTGCTCCTGGGGACTGGCATCCTTGGCTTGTGGCCACATCTCTCCAGACTGCCAATCTTCACACCCCCTTCTCCGCGACCAGTGGCACCTCCCTTTGCCTTTTTGGCGGGGAGGCCCATGGTGGTATTTGGGACAGTTAGGGAGAATCCAGGATAATCTTCCCATCTCAAGAGCCTTCACTTAATCAGACCTGTAAAGACTCTTTTTTCAAATGCAGTAGCATTTACAGGGTCCGGGGATTGAGACCTGAAATTTTGGGGGGCTGTTTTTCAACCTGCCACCATGACGGGATTTGCAGCAGCCTCTGTTGAGTCTGTTCAGTACCAGGCTCCGTCCCGGCCCTGGCTCCCTGAGGTGCCCTGGCAGAGACTCCAGGTGCAGGTGGAGATGGGTACAGAGCAGAACCTCTTTCTAAACATGTAGTCAGTTCTCAGAGGATCGGTGCCCGGTGTTGTGTGGGCCGAAGAGGCTTCTGGGTCAGAAGCCTCAAGGAGGGGTGACCTCATGCACAGCAAGTCCCGTAGGTACGTTATGAATCAGCAAGTGACTGTCACATGCCAGGAAGCAACATGCAGCTCTGTTCCCTGGCAAGCACTGCTGGTCCTGCCAGGAGCCTGAAGGATGGAGCCGCTGGAACGCAGGGCTTCGGGGGGGTCAGAGGATGCCTCAGGTGCCGTCTGCACAGGCCGCGCACTCTGAGGGTGGCAAGACCACGGCACCTGATGCCATCTCGCACACACCCAGCCCGCCTGGCCTCCTGCCCCAGGGCCATCAATTGTCCCTGACCTCCTGCCCAGTGGGCGCGGCCTGCAGCTGAGTGCAGCCAGCCTTCTGCCTGAAAGGTGTGACTGCTGGCAGGAGCCCTGGGCATGGCTGGAAGCAAGCCCCTTTCACAAAATTAAATATGCTTAAGGCTGCTTCCTCAACTCCGGTATCTTCACTGATTAAACATTCATTTCCAAGACAAAAAGAGTCAATTTAGTATGAAAGATATATTTTGCCAGTTTAATTTAAAGCGCTGCACCTCTATCTGACCCCTATTTTCATAACTCAATAATTTTATCCTGTGTTGATTGTCTCATTTTGAGAGAGATATTGTATGTATAAATCAGTTTCTAAAATACCCAAAGAAACTCCAAGAGTGGAATTTATTAAGCAGCCTCTGTTAGGATGAAATCATTTATTTTGGGACCGTCATTGGGCAGCACTCCAGCTCATGGTTCTGGCTTCCCCGGGAGAGGTGTCCCGGGAGGGGACGGAGCCCAATGCTCCCAGACAGCCCCGGCACCCCACACCTTTGCTCCCCCAGGAGTCTCTCCTGCTCCAGGCCGGTGGGGACGGGGTCCCGGGGAGCTGAGTCTGGCAGCGTTCTCCCCACATCAGCCTTGGGTTCTGGTGACTCGGGGTGAGGGTGGCCTGAGCCCACCCTGCGGCCCCTCTCAGGCCTCAACTGGC